GTAGTTCTGTAGTTGTTAGAGAAAAAAGATAGAATTTTGTCCAGGAAATTGATATAAATCTTTCTAAAATCTGAAATTCTAGCAATGGAAAATACAGCCCTTCAACAGGAGTTCAATGAGTCTTCCTCCTGACTTCGTCTGATTCCACCTTCTGTTTCTTTGCTTATTCCTAGAATGCAGTCCCAGCAGTACCAGCAGCAGCGTCGAAAATTTGCAGCTGCCTTCTTGGCATTCATTTTCATTTTGGCAGCTGTGGATTCTGCTGAAGCAGGGAAAAAAGAGAAACCAGGTAAGGGGTAGAGTTATGAAGGCAGAGACACTTCCTTGATTAATATCCATCTCACCCAATATGTGTTCTTTGTCCACTTTCCCTCCCTCCCTCCTGCTCTCCCTTCCTCCTTATTTCCTTCTCTTCCTTCCTCCCTTTCTTTTGCCTAAATAGAGGAATATAATTTATAACTTATATTCCTCTATTCCTCCCATTGTAATTCCTGAACTATAAATGATAATGATCTTTAACCAAATGATCCCATTATCAGCTGCTACATATAGAACTTAGACCAACAATCAGGTATTTTACTTGTGATACCTTTTTCCTTCTGGAAGAGTCCTGCAAGGAATTCTTATTGTAGCTCAGATGTACAAAGGAGGCAACTGAAGACGAGAGGGGATAAAGCACCTTTGCTATGTCTCTCCCAAAGTCATAAGTAGACTGTGGAGCTGGAAGTCTTTTTACTTCTGTGATATACTACTTCTATTTCATTTCAGTGGAATGCATTAAAATGGCTCATAAGAAAACTGTCTGATTAGTCAGTTATTCTAAAAGAATGTTTTCTCATTTTTAAAGTTTAATAATTTTTTTAAGATTTATTTATTTTTATTTATACAAGAACTGGGGTACAGGCCAGATGCGCAGGAAGGTGAGAGGATTCACCAGAGACAGAGCAGGGAACAGAACAGGCAGACTGATGAAATACACTGCTGAGGGGAGCAGCGGGCGAGACAGGAGAGGTCTGCCGCACTATGTGGATATCTCCCTGGCTGGGCCGGGATCAAACCCACTTTACAGAGGCTGCGGACAGCTTCATAGTGCTGGGCTCAACCACCTGTGCCACCAGGGGAGGCCCTAAAGTTTAACAATTTTTGACCATCTTTCTTGTATAGAAATGTGTGCTTCTAAAAAAATATGCCAGTAAATCATTTAGCACAGCCCATAGCACATAGTAAGAGTTGAGTTATTATTGGTTTTTGTTCCTTCCTCAGTTTTCTTTCTCCTTCTTTGGGTCAACCATTGATTTAATGACTTCACCAACACCTCTCAAGCGCCTACTGTTTCCTAGACACTGAAGCTGGAGTTAAAAATACAGACCCAGCAATTAATTCACTTGGGAATTAACTCAGTTTTATCTAGGAATTAAAGAGTTTTCTGAAAGTTGATTATTTTCCTTACTGCCAGAAAAAAAAGTAAAGAAGTCTGACTGTGGAGAATGGCAGTGGAGTGTGTGTGTGCCCACCAGTGGAGACTGCGGGCTGGGCACCCGGGAGGGCACCCGCACCGGAGCCGAGTGCAAGCAAACCATGAAGACCCAGAGATGTAAGATCCCCTGCAACTGGAAAAAGCAATTTGGAGGTACGTCTCTCCTCTGTTGTCCCATGGATTTAATTTTCCACTAAATATCTTATTGAGGCTGTCTACTATTTATTTTAAACATTTATTTTTGTTTATTTATGTATACAAGAGCTGGGGTGTAGGCCAGAGGTGTGGCTAGAATATATAAGAATTCTCAAACCATACAATTGAATTAGAAAGTGGACAAAACACAGGAGTAATCATTTTCTCTAAAGAGGACATACAGGTATCAAATAAATACTTGAAAAGATGTTTAACATCTTTTCCCTGTTAGGGACACAAACTATCACTCTATAACGCGTACCTATTAGAATGACTGAAATTAAGAACAACACCAAGTGCTATCCAGGAAGCAGAGTAATTAGATCCTGCATGTATTTTTGATGGAAATATAAAATGGTATAGCCACTCTAGAAAAAAGTATAGGAGTACAGAAGTTTACTTATTTTTTATAAAACTAAATGTGTTTACCATGCAATATAGTAGTTGAACACTTGGTCATTTTTCTGTAAGAAATGAAAACTTATGTTCCCATAAAAATCTGTGCACAATTGTGTATAGCAGTTTTATTTATCGTAGCCAATAGCTGGAAACAATCCAGTGTCTTTCAACTGGTGAATGGTTAAACTGTGGTATGCGATGGAATACTACTCAGCAATAGAAAGGAAACAGACATTTGATATATACAATTTGGATGGCTCTCCAAGAAATTATGCTGTGTGAAGAAAGTCATACATACTATATGGTTCTATTTATATAACACTTTTTAGATGACAAAGTTAGAGCGATGGAGGACAGATTATCGTCTCCAGGGTGATGGGAAGGAGAAAGGGAAAAAGGCTATGGCTATAAAAAGATTACCCAGGGCCTCCTTGGTGGTACACGGGGTTAAGATGCAACCTATGAAGCTGTCTGCAGCCTCTGCAGCACATGTTCGATCCCCAGCTGGCCAGGGAGCATGCTACATGGCGCAGCAGACCTCAACTGTCTCGCCTGCTGCACCCCTCAGCAGTGTACTTCGGTCAATCTGCCTGTTCTGTTCCCTACTCTGTCTCTGGTGAATCCTCTTACCCCCCACACCTCTGGCCTGTACCCCAGCTCTTATATGCATAAACAAATAAATCTTTTTTAAAAACAAATGATAGCCCACAGGGCCCTTGTGTTGGAACTGTTCTGTGTATTAACACTGGTGGTGTTCACTGGTATCTACATATGATAAAGCCACACAGAGTTGAATACACACACACACATACATAAATAAGTACTTGTGAATTGGTGAATGACGAAAGTCAATTTCCTGGACTGTAATTATGCAAGATATCACAAATGAGGGATTGGCTGAAAGGATATGGAATTTCTCTGTATTATTTCTTGCAAGTGCTTGTGAATCTGCCATGATCTCACTACAAAAAAGATTCAACACAAAGGCATGTCTTTATGTTCATGGCACTGCAAGAGGTTCTCAAAGAATTCTGCTTGGTCTTACCCTGTTATAGCGGAGTGCAAGTATCAATTCCAGGCCTGGGGAGAATGTGACCTGAATACCGCCTTGAAGACCAGAACCGGAAGTCTGAAGCGAGCCCTCCATAATGCTGATTGTCAGAAGACAGTCACCATCTCCAAGCCCTGTGGCAAGCTGACTAAGCCCAAGCCTCAAGGTAAGTACCTGCCTTTACACTGCAGTTTCCATGTGCATGGACTGATGTATTCAGGCAGAATCTTAAGATGTGGAAGCATGAATTTTCTAGAAGGAAATCTTGGGTGAATTAAGCTGGGACTTGAAAAAACCTCATGTTGAACACAGTCACTGGTTAGTGGACAGTTGATGAGCTCAAAGTGAAGTCATTTACCCAGATGATGGATGGGTGTAATCCCATAGCAGAAATAACCACTTAGCAAAACAGGCCTCTTGAGAAGTCGTTGTATGTTGGCTCTATCTCCCACACCTTCAGCTGGGACCACATCTTGACAAGTATAAAGGAAATCACAAGACAGGCAGCTTTCAACCTAATCTCTCCCAGATTATCTGACATATGTAGATTTCAGGAAGTCAGCTAAGTTATTTCACATTTTTTCCTTTTACCACCATACTTTGACAGATTCTATATCTCTTATATTTCTTTCAGAGTCTTAATATTTTCTTAGATTAACTGACCAACTACAGTTATCATAGAATTCCAAAATTTTATAGAGTTGTCTTTCTAATCATTCTCAGAAAGCCAGTCTCTATTCTCATACTAGAGCAAGAAAATAAAAAACGAACATCACAGCCATGGTTTCATACAAATGGAATCCCAGAGAAGACAGAAAGGTCCTAAACTATTCTGTTTCATGAATGTTTTTGGTTGAATTAGTCTCACTGAAATTCATATGTTGAAGTCCTAAGATTTTTTCCCCATGGTTTTTTATTTATTTTTTTTTCTGTAACTATTTTTTAAATTGAGGTAACATTGGTTTATAACACTATATGTGATATCCTAACATTTGTTAATATACCTTAGAATGTAAGTGTATTTGGAGATAGGACCTTTATAAAGAGGAAATCAAAATGAAATGAGGTCATGCAGTGGACTCTATACCAAGTGGACCTGTGTGCTTATAAGAGATTAGACATGGACCTACCAGAGGGAAGAACACGTGAAGACATGGAAGAGGGTCTTTTTTTTAAAATATAATCAACGAAAAAATCCACACTATTAATATAGATTCTGGAATTATCTGACAAAGACTTTATTTTTTTTTTAAATAGTCATAGTCTTTTTTTTTTAAAGATTTTATTTATTTTTTATTTATTTATATAAGCACTGGGTACAGTCAGAGTGCGGGAGGGTAAGAGAATTCACCAGAGCCAGAGCGGGGAACAGAGCAGGCAGAAGGACCGAAGTACACTGCTGAGGGGAGCAGCGGGCGGCAGGAGAGGTCTGCGGGCCATGTGGGACCCTCCTCTGGTGGCCGGGGAGCAGCTGGGGATTGAACCGGCACTGCAGAGGCTGCGGGCAGCTTCTCAACCCAGCTCTCAACTGCTGCGCCACTGGGGAGGCCCTAGAAGAGGGTCTTCTGCAAGCCAAGGATGCTCCAGGAGTAATTGATCCTGATGACACCTTGATCTTGAACTTCTAGCCTCAAGAACTTGCAGACAATAAATTTCCTTTGTGTAAACCACCCATTCTATGGCGCTACCCTATGGGTACCCTAGGAAATTAATGTAATGGGCCTCTTAACTCCAGATTCAGATACCTTCATGGCTCTGCTCTAACATGGACCTGAAAATTCATATTGACCAGATTAATTATAGAGAGAAACTCAGAAAAACGATCATGAAGCCTATAATAAATGAAAATAGAACAAAAAAGGAGAGGATTACCTGTTGCTGGTAGACAAAAAGGATTCATTTCTAAGGCCCAGCTTTTCAGCCTGTCATGGACTTGTCTGTGGAAATGATTTCCTTCAGGATGGCCAGTGCGGGTTTCAGGCTGCCTTCCCAGGTAGGGCAGGTCTCTGCTGCTTGTTGTGTGCATGACGTAGAGCTGGGGTCAGCACACTGGGCCTGGTGTCAACTTTACAAATGTCATCTGTCCAGGGACCGCTGTAGAGATCTAATGAAAATTAATGGCACATCTCTTCAACCAGACATACCCCAAACTACACGAGCTCAGAGATGCAGCTTTCAAATCAATGTGTACTTAGCCCAGTCAGAAAACCAACATATTCAGCACCTATAGTGTGGAAAAGAAAAGAAATTAAGGAATCTTCTGCTTTCTAACTCAGTGGTTTTCAATCTGGACTACAAAGAATTTTCTATAGGAATTTATAAAAAGCTCAACACCCAGGCATAACCCAGACCTACTAAGTCAACATCAGAAATTTTAAATATCACGTTGGTGGTATAGTGGTGAGCATAGCTGCCTTCCAGAAATTTTAAATATTAAAATGCTCCTTATAAGATTTTAACAGGTAGCCAAAGTAAAGAATTATCTCTCTAGTATGAAGTTAGTTAAGAAAGGCCACATAGATATATACATGCATCCTATATGCACACACATACATGTACACACATGCACACACACAGACACTGTCCTCTTTCACTCCTATGAGTCAGAGAAAACTATAGCTAAATGTATGAGGAGCAAAAATATGGGAGTGTGATTGGGTCGGGTATGTTGGTGGGGCTGGGTGACTTTGGAAAGTTTTGGTAAATTTGGGATAAACAGGACACAGAGGAGACATGATTAATAAAGACCCCTCAGGATATTTAATGAACATGCTCAGTAACAATTTCCCATCCTGTAAAATGTAAGAAACGTTAAATCTTGAGTCCCTGCTCACAATAACCTCTATTCCTTTTATTTCTTCCCAGCTATTTCTAACAGTTTTGCCATCTTGCTGTTCTTTTTTATTTATTTATTTTTTTGGACAGTTGCCTAGCTCTCTCTTAGGTTTGACAGTTCCTCCTCATAGATCAAAGGACCAGCAACTGTTGAAGGGCAGGACTCAGCTGTGCAGGCCACAGCATTTGGCAGCTGATTGTTAAATGGGAAATGGGGGTCAGTAAATGGAAAATCCCAGAATTCTCAGGTCTTCTCCACTATGCAGATTCTTTTGTTAGCTCTTTCAAAGATAAAAGAAGGGGCTGACATTTCCTTCTCTTTTCTGGGATTCCCTAGGAAAGGGATGGTGACATTCTGTGGATGAAACTCTTGAGGACAGGAGCCATATCTCATTTATCTTGGTAAAGTACAGCCTCTAGTTATCCACAGTCCATGAGAGTATGGACTGAGGTGAATAGTACTGACTTAAGTGAATGGATGGATGGAGGAATGAATGAATGAATGAATGAAGGATGTGTCCAGCCAAATTGCCCTATCTCCCATCATGCTTTCATGGACTCCAAGATGTACAGAAAAATCCAGGTCAAAGCAATGTGCTACCTGGAAGAAGCCATCTGGGTATTTTAGTCCCATCCTTATTAAAAAATGCCCTAGTCCTAATTGCCAGGACAGATGTGAGAACTAGAACTATAAATATTTGTAGGGTTTACTTCACACTGTGTGTCTGCTTTCATCTCCCTTGGTAAATTCCATGCACAGAGGCTCATTAGCTGTGTGCACACAAAACAGCTCTATAATAATTAGTGATAAAGCAGGCTGCCGAAGAGAACAGTGTTCACACTAATGAGTCACCACTTTGAGGGACCTTTTATTCCCTCCCCTCAAGCTTTTCTACATTCTAACTTCTGGACTGAGATGGTCTGATCTGTTCCATGTTTGAAGTTGTTACTATTGTTATCAGCAATTCTTTAAAATCAATTCCTATGGACGGAGTAGTTATGGTTTGATGAGCATTGTTCGAAGCCCCTGGCTTGCGCTGACTTGCTTAATCCCCACAGCAGCCCTGGGAGTTTTGTTCCAGATCATGTATTGCATTGCCGGTTTTCATGTCTGTTTTGTCTCCTTTAATCCAAGTTCCTTAGTCTTTCTTTGTATTTCCTGGTGCTGACAATTTTGAAAAGTACAGGTCAATTACTTTGTATTGTAGAATGTCCCTCAGTTTGAATTTGTCTGTTTCCATCTGGTTCTCAATAGCATTGAACATTGTTGATCACTTCATGATCCTCTGGGCAACTAGTTCTAAAGCATAGGGGAGTTAATTTTCATAGATACAGAGAGCATTGCAAGGATTGTAGTGATATTCTGACTTTTGAACATATTACATTGTGATAGTACTGCTGTTCAGTGTTACAATCCTGGTTTTTTTTTTTGTAATAATGTGTGAGTTAATTAATCAATTAATTTTTCCTTCCTTAGGTTCTCAGGTTTTATGGAACAAGTCTCTCAAGTAGGGGTTATGATAGCTATTACATGCCACCAGCTGTAACTGGTGACCTCTGAATCTGTGGTGTTCATAGCTTCCTCATAAATGAATTCTAGATCTTAGAAGGCGCAAATCTCTCATTTCTATTCTAGTCAATTATTCCTTCCATTGGTGTGGTAACCCAAAATCACTTTGTTTAGACCCATAGTAAACAGAAGTTGACTTACTTTATAAATAGTTAAGATTCAGGCTTTTCTCAGTCACTTCATCTCTTAATTTCCTTGTCATGTTTCCTGTATCCACAGTAGGCCATCTGTAAAATAAGGGAATCAAACCAAGAAGTTTTGCTAAGAAAACCAGATAAGCTTATTCCAGAATTTTCAACTCTTCCACTACTTGGAATAAACACATCCCCTGAAGGTCTTTGAAAGGCCTTTGAATTGGTGTCTTTCTTTCAATACCCATCTCCAATGCTGTTTCTATCAGATTCCCCTAGTACTGAAATTTTGGGTGGATGTTTACTTGTGCCAATGACATGGTAATCCTATTTCTGGAAGGGTTTGTGAATAGATGGAAAGAGATGATGCATGCTATTTGATTATTTGCCTTTTGAGAACAAGTTTGCTGCAATAGGATCTCAGAAGTTGCTGATAAGAATTTAAATGAATATTTCCTTTCAGGAAAATTTTTTTCACTATATAGAGTTTTAAAAATGGTCTGCCCTTTAATTCATCAGGTCCTCTTCTAGTAATCCACACCAAAGGCAAAACTTAGAGTGACTTGTCTGCAAAACATGCATTACATTATTACATTTTGCATTACGTTATTGCTTATGATAAATGTGAGAACAAGTAACTGAACAATGAAAGAGGAAAGGTTACCAAAAATATGGTGTGGAATGGCATAGAGGAATAATAAGAAGGGTCATGTTTCAAAGTATACTCAATGGCATGGAGGATACTCAATTTTCAGTATGAAGTTCTTTATCAACTGTCACTATGTTCCTAGTGAAAGTCTGTATTTCATTTATCACAGAAAGAGCACATAATTGGAACCTGCAGCTGAAAGTGTTACCTCTATATTGTATAATTATGAATCATTTCTGTTAATGTATGTGCTTATATTTTTTACATGTTCTGTATGTTTTTAAAACCAGAAAAGTAATTAATATTTTTTAAAGAAGAATGAATGAACTCAGAGGAGAAACTCTTCTCACCACATTGAATTGCCATACATAATGCCTTTTAGGAATTCATTCTCCCTGTGTATACTCCACCTTTTACATCATAAACATCTGTGATGTCAAAGTAATCTAATAATCATAGAAATAGACATTGAAGCCAAAACAATAGCTCTTGCATACCATGATCTTTCATACAAATATTTACTTTTAGACTACTTTACAACTTTGAAAGATGCTCACGTAGAACATTCCTGAACATTTATTATGGCAACTCTGTGAAAGCAGGGTTTTTTTTGTTTGTCATTCTATCCCAGCATCTAGCACAGTGCCTGATAATTAGTGTACATGTAGACTATATCTGCTAAATGAATGTCTTTTGAACAGTGGCAATAGAGTGGGAACTTAGTGGACATAATCTTAAATGATATTCATGATGGAGTGTAGAGTCAGTTTTATTATACCCAAGTTTACAGGAAACAGACGCAGAAAGATTGATTGATTTGCTCAAGATCACAGAGTCAGTCAATGGCAGACATTGATTAGAAACAATTCTCTAGAGGAAGACTTGGCTCTCAGCATATTGCTAGCTGAAATTCATTGTTTCCTCATTGCCTTTCTAAAACAAATGGCCAGAATACTTCAGTGTCCATCAGGGGTTTGTTTTCTGTTCAGAATTTTAAAAATACACGGACTCACTCGGAATTTATTCATAGGGCTGTTATGAATTCCTGTACCTTCTCACTTCCTGTCTTTTATCAGTAGCTACTATGCATTAAAAGAGTTTTCTAGGCTAAAGCTTGAGTTTTCTGAGTAGATTATGGTAAAAATTGCACAGAGGTTATGATTGTTAGCAATATAAAGAAGCTGAACATTTTCTACAGTGTTTTGTCTTAGGATTTTGGAATTTCTGGATGCCTCAGACATCTTAAACAAAACAAGGTGTTTCTATTCAGATAACACAAAGTTTTACATCTTCCATTGACTCAAAGATTGGGTATAGATAGGATGCAAATTTATAAACCCAGGGAGTTAAAATGCACCAAGGTTTCCACTGTGAGTTTCTAGTGGAGTGATGTCCCCTCTTATATATGTGTGTTTATATGTGTATGTATGTAAGTGTATGCACACACATGTATATATGTGTCTACATGTGTGTGTGTCTGTTTGTGTGTGTGTGTCTGTGCAAATATAAAACCAGAGATAAGCGCTCTCAAAAGGGAGCTAACTTACAAAAACTTACACCAGAAAGTCAGCAAGCTAGAAGTATTGAAATTGGTACCTGAGGGATGGTATTCACAAGAGGGAGGTGGTGGTGAAAGTATAGGGTTGATGGAATGAAGAGCAAACTAGAAAGCTAAAGGCCAGGAGAGAAAAAGAATGATGTGTTTTGGGAATTGAAATAAGTGTAGAGACTCAAGCAAGAAGAGGAGATTTGAATGATGGGCAAGATATAAGCATGAAGTAAGACAAATAGGTATTTGCTGTGGAGTGAGTGAGTGCCAGAGGATGCCATGTTACGTGAAGAGTCATGTGATGGCCAGGGTCTGGTCTCTCATTCCATTCTGCTGCTGGCTCAATGTCCACCTTGAGAAATCACTGACTCTCTTGACCTCTATTTTTTAATCAATTATGTAAGGGAGTTGGATTTGGTTCTTTCCAGATTGTGGATTCCATGTAGTCTGGAAGCTTGAGAGACTGTTTACAAATTTTTTAGGTCACAGAAACAAGTAGTGACAAAGGTCATTTAATTATGTGAAAATCACAAAAAACTGCTTTTAGCTGGAAACAATACTACTGATTTAGTTTTTTCCATTATTTTCAAATATTCAAACCTTCATTATGTGAGAAATAAAATCAACATTATGCAAGAAAAATTCTTTCTTCTTCCCACTGCTTTTTAGAGACTCCTCATTTTTTTCTACTCAGATGATCTAGAGTTTACTTAAGGTTTGCAGTGGGTCAGAAAAATGCCATGTTGACTCACCAGTTATATAAAAATATAAATTGGTTGGTATTGTGCAGATTACATTTGCAATAGGTTGATTTCTTGCTATTTAGCAATTTGTTAATTAATGACTCTAAGATAAATGTCAGGTGCAGCTAACAGAGTGAGGCTGTGCTCTGGCCTTTACCAAGGAGAATCGAGGAGAAATTCCTGTTCCCCAAACATTCCCTAACTTACATTAGCTAGATCAAATAGTGTGCAATATTGAGAATAACTTAAATTTTTATTAAATAAATGGATACAAACACCTGATTGATATGACATCCGTCCAGACATATGTATGAAATAACAAGCTAGCCAAAATATTCAAATTACTGCCACAAACAGTAAGAGCTAGAGCTAGACAGTTACAAATTATGGAGAAGTCCCAGTAGGGGATATGGAGAAATTGAGACAAGGGAAACAAGAGTCCTATCCCAGTGGATACCCTAGATTATTCCCTGATGACACCATCCTAATGTACAACTGTTGCTTAAAATGTCAAAGACTGGAACTTAATAAATGTTCGGACACTGACTATTCAGAGATTAAGAAGAAAACCTTCTTCGACCTTGGAGGTACCTTTGAACTTGGAAATTCTGGTCATTTCACCTTTAATATGTCAGAGGAGACACATGTAATAAACCAAAGTAAAGAGCAGATGATTGTCTCTTCAATATAGAAGGAGGAAACGCTGAGGATAGATAGGAATACATGCAAGCAACAATTTAGCAAGATTTTAGCAACTCCTGACTTGATTGTGTGTGGTGTGCCCTTGAAGTTCGAGTAGAGGACACTCAGGACAAATTACTTTGCACAGCAATACTAGATTTGCCTCAAATCTGATGGACTTTGAGACTTATCTGATGTGGTGGTAAGTAAAGAATGAAAATGGCTCAATCTCTGCTCAGGTATAAGCTGAGATTTGTACAATGTGTGTGGTTGGTATCCTGCCCTCTCTCACCAGAAGCCTAAGGGCCTTCTTGGACATAGGCCCTGTGGTCCAGTTACCAATGCCCTAACCCCCACTGGCCATTGCTTTGTCCTGGTTCCCCTCTGTTCCTAGCACTTTCCATCACCTGCCCAGTCAATATGTCTTGGTGATGATGAAGAATATTCATTTTACAGAGAAGTGAGCTTTTGTTCATAGTCTATTATCACATTTATGATACACGCTGACCTTTATTGAGCACGTGTAACTGTGTCATGCTCTATTCTCAGTGGATTTACACAACTCATTTAATTTAGATATTGACCCTGTGAAGTGATACTGTTTGTATGCCCAGTCACAGGTTAGGAATTTGAGACATAAATACTTGAAATAACTTCTCTAGAGTCTTATGGTAACTTAGTGAGGAAGTCAGGATAGAAAGTCTAGCAGTCTGGGCCTCCCCAGTGGCGCAGTGGTTGAGCGCTGGGCTGCGAAGCTGCCCGCAGCCTCTGCAGCACTGGTTCGATCCCCGGCCACCAGTGAGGGTCCCACTTGGTGCACAGACCTCTCCTGCTGCGCCCGCTGCTCCCCTCAGCAGTGTACTTCATCAGTCTGCCTATTCTGCTCCTCACTCTGGCTCTGGTTGATTCTTCCACCCTCCTGTGCTTCTGACTGTACCCAGTGCTTGTCTAAATAAATAAATAAATGAATGAATAAATAAATAGAAACTCTAGCAGTCTGAGCCTATCCCTAATCCATATCGTATGTTTTTAACACTAGGTTAGACCAGATAGGGGAAGTATCTTAGAAACATTTAACAATATCCTTTCACTTGGTAGCCTAGTAATTCTAACCATTCTCATCTTTGGAACCAGAGCTGACATGACCTATGCTATGCTTCATTTGTGCTTAGGAAAGGGAAATGGCAAGATGACTGAATGGAAAAGAATAGAATCTTTTCATTTCAATCCTTATATTTGTAGTTAACTGGTGTAGCCTAGGTTGGTACAATCCACCTGCTTCGTCCAAGACTAGGAGTCTCTGCAATGTCCCTGGAGGTGTAAGCAAAGGTTTTATAGCTCTTTGCTGAGCAGTGACCAGTCTTTCTCAAAGAAGCTTGCTGTATTTCTTTTTTGTAAGCAGGGCCTGCAGACGGTATTTCATTTATCACAGGGGGCTACCAATAAGATAATAGGCATTTGCAGGTGTTCACAC